GAGGTACCACTGTATATTGATTATTTCAATCGATGGCAAGCATTTTGGATTGCCAAATGGAACAACCTCCCCTTTCTGCCCCCCGCTCACTGTTCTGGGTGTTCTCTATGCCCCCTGAGCCAATTTCAGAGGGTATTAGAGCACATGGGGGGAGACTTTCCAATGATGAGATTCATTAGTTGAATCCCACCCTTTATTTTTAAAACAGATTTGGAACAGGCAGCCCTGCTCTGCAATATAGAGCACATGGCCCCAGGAGACATGTGGGTGTACTGTCTAAACTGCCGTTCTGCATCATTTAATGGGTCAAAAATCCTATGCATGTCTGCTCAAAAGAAAGCCCCACTGATTTCAGTGGGACTAATTCCAAATTAAGTGTGGATTATTATTATTTAGTGCCCTTTGCCCGCAGGTCCCAGGACGGTTCACAAGATAAAATCACAATATAAAGGCATAAAATACACAATAAAAACAAAAACAACCCAAATATCCTCCCCTCCCCAACACAATTTAAAAGGGCATTGGATGTTGTAATGAGTATGGGTTGCTCGTGCGTAAGTTGCCGCCTCTCCTGGCTATGTTGCCTTGTTAAACCTTTCTGTCTGGACAGCCCTTCACTTCGTGGCTGCCTCAGTCGCTAGCAGAATCCGTCAGTGGGCGTTTCTTAAACCTTTTCCAACGTAAAAGTTGTTTGACGCCAAGTCTCCTCCTACTCTCCCTGCGCGGAAGCCTTCTGCGCAGGGAGGGCGTGGGTAGCGGAGGACCCGTGCTCTCCCCGCTGGTGTCCGGTGAAGAGTCCTGGAGCCCTCTCGCCGATTCCCCCATCTGCCCCCCTTTATCCCTGGTGTTGCGCTGATTTGCTTCCCCATCTGCTGAGCTGCCTCTCTCCCTGCTGGGCCCTTCTCCAGCATCATTTGAGAGCCTTCCCTCCGCCTCTAGCTCCGATGTCAGTCCCCTGACATCCGTCAATCAGCCAAAGGTCTGGTTAAAGAGGAATGTTTTTGCCTGGCGCCTAAAGGTGTATAATGAAGGTGCCAGGCAAACCTCCCTGGGGAGAGCATTCCACAGATGGGGAGCCACTGCAGAGAAGTCCCCATTCTTGTGTTGCCACCCTTCGGAACTGGACAGGACTACAGCCGAAACCTTTGTTATCAATCAATTTTAATAATTGGGGCTGCATGTTTGCTGTTTAAGGAATGAAAAAGAAAAAAATAATGATTGTCTTTCCTTCCTGGGAGTTAAAAGGGACTCTCGTGGTGGCTGTGAATAGCCAACACACTTGTGCAAGGCAAGTCAGGTAGAAGAAATTCTTCTGCGGAACGCAAAGCTACCTGCAGATGCAAATTACCTCAGCTATGGATTTTCTAGCCACATCCATCATAGATGTGCTTTGTTCAACAACAAAAACATAGGAGAAATAACACCATAAAATATATCTAATAAATAATAATTATTATTATAATCAGCGCTTTTCCCCCTAAAGTTTAGGGGTACTCTCATTCCGTTTGAGACTCAGGAAACACCGTGACAGGAAATAAGGCCACCATCAGGGGTAGCAACGAAACCGACAATTCATGCTAGAGAAAAACTAGAGGGGGGTCACTAGGGGCGCATCAGAAGATGGCTGACAATAACATCTCTCCGACCCACACGAGGTAATTTGGAGGCTGTGATGGGAGTAAATAGCCTCCCTACCCCCCCCCAGGATGGGGGGGGCTGCCCTTGCCTGCTGTGCCCTATACCACCCCCGAATTTGAGGGGATGGGGCACTAGGCGGAATGCCCTTCTGTGGATATCAGCGCTCCTGGATGCTGCCTCTGATCCGCGCCTCTAGCTGCAAGAACTTCAAAAGAAACGATTAGGATGAAGCGAATGCACATATTTCAAGGAAGGAGGGGGAGTAAAGACTGCTAACAGAAGAGATCTCTGATAAACAAGACGAGTCGGAAGAACAAGAATTAACCAAGGGCTTTGGAATGACGCAGTTAAAAATACCGTCGCCATATTGGGAAGTTCTGTCGGAGGACTTAAGTCTGGGAGGAGAAATAGAGAAATAGAGCTGTTTTTATATTGTGGGTGAAACTTCTCAGAGGTACTTAAGAACGACAGTTCTGTGATTAATGATGGAAAGAGCGATGTTATCTATGAATGTGATGATATATGGAAACCATCTCGATTTGAGGATTGGATGAACGGAAAATTCACACAGGATTATTATTGGTGTTTATCGGCTTAAGGAGATTATCAGAAGAGATCATAAAGAAAAAAGAGAAAATATACGAACAAGATGAGATGCGGAAACAGCAAGATAAGACTGGATAGAATTATGAACTTTGTTTGGACTGATTCGGACATTAACGCAGTAGCAAGAAGATGATCAGAATCCCCCTTCGGATCTTGAAATATGGGTCCCCTCAACAAAATTTAAAATTTGGCTTTGTAATTCGGAATTTATGTGATGTGATTTGATTTGATTTGATTTGATTGGTCGGTTAATAAAAATTATTTTTTTAAAAAAAGAGAAAAACTATTTTTTTTAAAAAAAATTGTTTCTTCTCCCGTTAGATTCACAAAATGTTTAGGGGTACGCGTCCCCCTGCGTCCCTCCCCCCAGAAAAAAGCACTGATTATAATGTATTTTAAGATTGCTTTGTTAAAAAAAAAAATCACATGCCATATGTCACTTACACCACTGAAATCATCTGCTAGGTACTCCAGCTAAATGCCTTGTCATTGATCTTGGTCCCAATGTTGATTTCTTCACAGGCCAACTGACTCAAATGTGTATATCGATAACTTGACCTCTGTAGGAAGCAATTTGGAAATTGCTTTTGAACTATTTTGTGATTAATGTTCTAAACTGCTTTCAATTAGCCTTCAGAAGTCCCTGGAGCTATTTATTACTTTGTGATGCTGCTTTTAAAATGATAAGTGGCCCTCTGTTAATTAAAGAGTCCCCGATGTGAAGCTGTTGTGGAATGTATTGGATTCTTTGGTTTACTGGGCTACAATGGGATGGTTTCATGTGGTTCTATTTGCAGCAAAACACTCATTTATCTGAAGCGGCCGGAAAGCTTTGAATATTTGGGTTATGAAAAGCTTGGCTCACAGGAGATACATTTACAGAACCTCCAAGTGTCCCTATTTTCCAGGCACAGTCCCAGATTTACAGGAGATGTTCTGGTTTCTGATTTGATCCCCAAATATTCTGCTTTTCCTTAGGACATCCCTATTTTCATCAGAGAAATGTTGGAGGGTATGGAGTTATGTGACCCTCCCCCCAAGCCAAGGAAATAAGTAACTATACAACCTTTAGAAGACATCTGAAGGCAGCCCTGTATAGGGAAGTGTTTTAAATGTTTTATTCTGTTTTTATATACAGTGGTACCTCGGGTTACATACGCTTCAGGTTACATACACTTCAGGTTACAGACTCCGCTAACCCAGAAGTAGTGCTTCAGGTTAAGAACTTTGCTTCAGGATGAGAACAGAAATCGTGCTCCAGCAGCGCGGCGGCAGCGGGAGGCCCCATTAGCTAAAGTGGTGCTTCAAGTTAAGAACAGTTTCAGGTTAAGAACGGACCTCCAGAACGAATTAAGTTCTTAACCCGAGGTACCACTGTATGTTGGAAGCTGCCCAGAGTGGCTTGGGCAACCCAGTCAAATGGACAGGGTATAAATAATAAAATAAAACAACCACAACAATAACAATAATTCAATAGGACGTCCCAATTTTCATTGGAGAAATGTTGGAGGGTATGCATTTGCATAATCTATGGCAACGTGGGAGAAATGTGCTAATACTAGATCTCAGAAAGTTCTGAAAACTGGGTCTTCTTGCACCTAAAGGGCTATCAATTATAAATGGATGTTTTGCTGGATAACTGCTATGCCCTTTGATTGAAAAAGTTGACCGAGATGAGGGAAATCATTTAGGCCAGAGACTGGAACCTCAAGACTGACGACTAAACGTGGCCTACTAGACTCCTCTGCCTGATTCTCAGGACTCTCCCCTGACTGATCCTGTTTCACTCTGAAAAATGCCATATAATTCTGATAATGCCTCTTGCTTGTCTGGATGGAGAATATTGAGGGGCTGAGGTGTGAGTTTCTGTGAAGCTCACTGTACAAAAGTGACATTTCCTGCTCCTTCCACCTTTGCCTCTGCCCATGCCCATTTTTGCCTGAGACACGTGGCATGTGGCAGGTTGCCCTGAGGGGAGGGCAACCCTCAGATTCCCCACTCCTGATGGAGATTATTACCGTCCAGATGACAGGAATTCTTTGATACTTTGTTAGGCCAATGTGCATAATAATAATTTAAAAGCAATTATATTGGACCACGAGCAGCAGATAGAGCTATTGTGGTCCCCTCTGTTAAAAAAAAAATAAAAAATCACATGCTGAGCAACTAAGGCAACATACCCTCTTGTTTTGTTGTTGTTTAGCTGTTTAGTTGTGTCCGACTCTTCGTGACCCCATGGACCAGAGCACGCCAGGCACTCCTGCCTTCCACTGCCTCCCGCAGTTTGGTCAGACTCATGCTGGTAGCTTCGAGAACACTGTCCAACCATCTCGTCCCCTGTCGTCCCCTTCTCCTTGTGCCCTCCATCTTTCCCAACATCCAGGGAGTCTTCTCTTCTCATGAGGTGGCCAAAGTATTGGAGCCTCAGCTTCAGGATCTGTCCTTCCAGTGAGCACTCAGGGCTGATTTCCTTCAGAATGGATAGGTTTGATCTTCTTGCAGTCCATGGGACTCTCAAGAGTCTCCTCCAGCACCATAATTCAAAAGCATCAATTCTTCAGCGATCAGCCTTCTTTATGGTCCAGCTCTCACGTCCATACATCACTACTGGGAAAACCATAGCTTTAACTATACGGACTTTTGTTGGCAAGGTGATGTCTCTGCTACATACCCTCTTATGAGGATGCAAACAAAGTTATTTTGCACAAGATTCAGAGTATTATAGAACTGTAGAGTTGGAAGGGTCCCCAAGTCCAGGCACCCCCAAACTCAGCCCTCCAGATGTTTTGGGACTACAACTCCCATCATCCCGAGCTAACAAGACCAGTGGTCAGGGATGATGGGAATTGTAGTCCCAAAACATCTGGAGGGCCGAGTTTGGGGGTGCCTGATCTAGTCCAACCCCCTACAATGCAGGAATCTTGCCCAACATGGGGCTCGAACTCACAACCCACAACCCTGAGATTAGGAGTTTCAAGCTCTACTGACTGGGCTATCCCAGCTATCGAGTAAGAGCTTAGCATATCAGAACACATGGAAACCGAGGGCCCAATTCTATGATTTACAATATGTGGGCAGACTGTGCCAATTTCCGCTATTTGTAATTGCATAATCTGAACTTTAGTCAAAGGCCAAGCAGAGACCGTCCAGATCAGTCACAATACAGTCAAATCACAGAAAAGAGTGCTTGGTATTTAAGCTTTCATAATAAGCTGCCCTCCCCTCCTCCCCACCCCCCCAGCGTTTTTCATGCTGAATACCAATCAAATATAAACATACTGCTGGCCGATTCAAAGAAGTCCAGGCTTTGTCACATTTCTCAGTGTTAATCATTTAAATCGATTGGCTATAATACACAGCACTGCACACAAAGCTCTCGCTGCTGACTATCATGGATGAATGGAGCTCCCATGAATACAAGGGGTGTTGTCCCATGTTCTTGCCATCAATGGGAGAAGCTGCTTTTATCCACAGAGAGAGCTCATTAGATTGTAGTTCAGATGCATTCCTATAATTATTTCAGCACAATTCTTTTACTGGGAGATAATGAACAGTAAGGTTTTGAGCATATCTTAATTTTATTATTCACACTAGGCTAGAAGGGTAGGGGGTTGCTTCTCCCCTAAGTATTTTTTTGCCTCCCTCTTTCAGCAGTCTTCCAGGAGGTCCCCCAAAAGGGAGCGAGAAATGTTTGTCCCTTACGCAGGACCCCTCTTTCACGACAGGTGTGGGAGAAAGGAAACTGATTCTGGTGCGTCACGAAGTGCTATAGAAATGAAATTACAGCACAGCACTGCAGGTTAGGTAGCATCTGTTGTGTCAGCAATGAAGATGCATTCCTTCTCTGTTCTCTACCAGCCGTTCGGAAGGAGAACAATCCGTTTATTTGCTTTCAGTTATGTAGCCAAACCTGATTGGATCCCTGGCACAGGCGGAGGGGGCTGTGAGTGGGTGTTGGTGGGCAGGGGAGGGAAATGACACAAACGCTGGATCTACACTGACCTTTTTAACGTTATTAGGACAACATTGGATACATCATTCTAAAACGTCGCAGGGCATCCTGGTAAATTAAAAGTAAATTCAGACCTTGTTTTCGCCGTAATAACACCATTTTCCTACTGCTGGTTCCTGGTTGCTCTGCAGCGCCCTCTATTCAGTATGGTGAGATTTTATTTCATGAAGTTTAGTTTCAGATTTACAGGTATCTCTCTGTTTGCCTTCTAGAGAAATATAGGTGTCATGATTTTAGATTGACTGTTATTATTTAATATGTTTAGGTTTTGCATTCCCTGCCTTTAGTTGGACATATTATTGAGTTTTTTATTATTGTTTACTTGTCTCTGTGGTTCCATAATAATCTGAAAACTAATAAAAAGAAAAAGAAAAGAAAGAGAAGCCTTCCAAGTCCTTCTCCTGTCTTTAAAAAATAAAAACAGGACTTAAGTTGCAGTGCCATTAAGATGACAGGCACAACGCTTTCTTGATGGATATCTGTTTTTATATACAGTGGTACCTTGGTTCTCAAACTTAATCGGTTCCAGAAGTCTGTTCCAAAACCAAAGCATTCCAAAACCAAGGCACACTTTCCTATAGAAAGTAATGCAAAACGGATTAATCCGTTCCAGATGTTTAAAAACAACCCCTAAAACAGCAATTTAACATGAATTTTACTATCTAACAGGACCATTGATCCATAAAATGAAAGCAATAATCAATGTTCTGTACTATAAAATAAGTAAGACAGTATTGTAGATGATAAAAAAAATTTAAAAAAAAATTCTTACCTGCACTGATTATAGTCATTGCTTTTATCCATTTCTGTAGTCACACAATCAATCAATCATAAAATGAAAAACAAGCCACAGTCACAAAAATGAAAAAGCCACACAAACAAAAATGCAAAAAATAGCAAAAGCACCAAATTAGGAAGGTTCTGGGAACTTTACCTTCCTCTCCCCACAAGGAAATAGTGTGGTAGACTATGTTCTGGTCCCCACTAAATTGCTACCCCACGTGGTTGAGTTCCACATAGGTGATCCTATGCTTAGTGACTATCTCCCCCTTCAGTGTAAATTTGTCTGTCCAACAAGAGTGCCAGAAAATTTAATCAATCCACTCCCCCAGGTACCGCGTCCTCAGTACATAAGGATTTGGATTAACGCGCATACTCTATCGTCTTTCCAAACCTTGGTGTATTCTGATCATGTGATTCACTTGATCTCGGTAGGGAGTGGTGAACTTTCTCTAGTAGCTAGAGTCGCTTGGTTTGAGGAGCTTATGGACACCCTAATAAAGGTTTGATGATGATGATGATGATGATGATGATTATAGTCATTGTTTGGATTATAGTCATTGCTTTTATCCATTTCCGCTGTCACACAATCAATCAATCATAAAATGAAAAGGAAGCCACAGTTACAAAAATGAAAAAGCCACACAAACAAAAACGCAAAAAAATAGCAAAAACAAAAGCACCAAATATTACCTCAGAACACTGCAATCAGAAACAGAAGGCTTTAATTACAATGGGGGGGGGCTTAAATTTTCCGCGCAAGTGTAAAATGGGATGAAAAAAGCCTTAATTACTATGCGGGGGACTCAAATAAGCTGCGCAACCGTGAAAATGGAAGCTCAGGAGCACATTCGGCTTCTGAGGCAAAGTTCAAAAACCGGAACACCTACTTCCGGGTTTGCAGAGTTCGGTTCCGAAAACCAAGATACCACTGTATATAATTTTTATTAAGTTTTTCTATTTTACATTTTAGAATATTCATTTAAACAACCTTAAAATATCAATGACTTCCTTTCTTCTCCTTCCATGCTTCATTTTACATATCATAAATCCCTGCATATTTTACATAAACTAAACCATTCAGCATTCCATATCCATCAAAACTTATTTACACTGTTGAATTTATCTTAATGCTGCCAACGTTTTCAAACGTACACGATTTTCACCCATATATTCAATAAACATTTTCCAATCTTCTTTAAACATATGTTCTTGTTTTCTTATTCTATATGTTAAGTCCGCAAACTGTGCATTTTCCATCAGCTTAAGTTGCCATTCTCCTTTAGTTGGAACCTCACTCATTTTCCATTTTGGGGCTAACAAAACACGGGCCACAGTAGTGGCATACATCAATAATCTTTTTTGACACCTGGGAATTTCATTCTGAATGATCCCCAACAAAAAGGACTCTGGTTCTTTTTGGGAAAATACTTTTAAACACTTTTTTTGATTCATTATAAATTATTTCCCAATACTCTTTTACACTTTTGCAAGTCCACCACATATGATGGAACATACCCTCAGCCTCATTGCATCTCCAGCAATTATCTGATCTAGTCTTACACATTTTAGCAAGTCTTGATGGATCTTCTGTGTTACCTATCACCCCACTCAAAACTAAAATGAACCCTCCATAATTCTGAGCTGACTGGACTAATAAGAGTTGCCATCCGCAACATCAGGAGCTCGCCAGGTTGGCAAAGGTTGCTTTCTAAATTCTGAACACAGACCCCAGTCGTTCCCTGTTTTATTCAAACATAGTGAAGTAGCAGTTCATTGTCCCCTTAAATACAGCTCAACTCTCAGACATGCCCTCTCCCCATGCCGTCAGCCAGGAATGGGTAAAAACCTTTGTTAAGAGCCCTCTTCCAGGAAGCCACACATAACCTTGTAAAAGAAAAGAAAAGAAATCTATTAAGTCATCAATACCTGCATGGATTCTGAATCCAATAAGCAAAGGTCAACAGAAAAGAGACCTCTCATCTATTACCATGCAAATGCCCTCGTATCTGCGCCAGCAGAGGGTAGACCACTAGGGCAATGTGTCAGTGACCGCCATTTTGCTGGGCAGGGAGGGACCTTATGAAGTGGCTGGCAACTTTGTTTGGCTGAACGCAGCTGACATCCCTATGATAATATTGCACAATATATCTGGAAGACGAGTGCATCAGCTGAGTGTGCAGTGCAAATTACGAGGTGTACAGGGGTGAAGTTTTCACATGCCGGAGCGGGATTTCACAGTTAACAAGGCAACTCAAAGTGGATCAGTGGGGAGGGGGGAGAAGGGGGGAAAATCTTTCACTTTGATAGGCAGGTCTAGGTTTAAATCACAGGGAGCATCTTCTCCAGGATGCTCCAATCACAGTGATTTGGGGGAGGGATGCCGAAGTAAATAATAAGGGTTTGTTTTTCATGGTTATTGTTCTCTTCTAACTATCTGGCTGGAAAAATTTAGAAGAATGGTGAACTGTTGGCTTCCTTCGCAATCTCTTTCTAACAAACAATTAAAAATCAACCCTTTGGTCAAACTGTTTTCATTCTCACCTCCCCTCACCCCAGTTCACATTGGTTTTGTTTTAAGTTTTCAAACTTTCAGCTCAGAACACAAAAAAAAGGTATAACCATTTTACATTCCCTATAGGGAATAGAAGAAGAGCAGAACTTCAGATTCAATAGATTTAATTTGGTTTTGTATAATGAGTCAGGAAGACGTAGAGTGGATCTGAAACAAATTAGGTTGCTTCCCAGCACTAGGGATAGTGGTACAAGCCAGTTCTTGCGGTACAGCTCTAATACCTGCTGTACTATTAGCAATAAGGAAGTTAGACAAAACAGGCAGATGAAAGCTGTGCAAAAGCTCCAGAGAACAATAAAGAAAAGGTGACTACATTTTCCTGCTGAGTTACTGGCTCCTGCACTGAGAAAGAGCAGAAATAAAATTTTGTACTGCAACGATATTGTGTCACCTAAAAAGAGACAGAAACAGTAAAGGGGAAACAAAACAAAGATGAGATGTCATCTAAATCTAAAAACAAAACAAAAATGTGTGATTGACTTATTTGACAAGGAAACATGACAGGCATGGAACACACTAGCTAGGGAGGTGTACAGACTATGGATGTTTTTTAGAAAAATAGACGAGTATCTGTCATGCATCATAGAGGGTCTCTTGCTATATGAAAACTGGTTTGCCAGCAGGACCTGCAAGAG